AGTTCTGCCTAGCTCGCAGTGGGGACCCGCCGATCCCCACCCTGAGAGGCCCCCAGGGGCTGAGTACCAGCCTCCAGACTCATGGTCTACAGGGGCTGGGCCACTGCTGGGGGCAGGGAATGTCCCAGCACGCCCCAGCACCTGCCACCCCGGTCGAGGTCTGTCTCCCCGAGACTGCACTCTTGAAGGGCAGGTAAGATTCACCTAAGTGGCCTCAATGAAGGACATGGGTGGGGTCACGGGGCGGGCATACCAGGTGAAAGCAGGGTTTATTTGCTCACTCGCTCGTTCATTCATTCCTGTAACACTGAGGCAAGAGCTCTGGGCAGCCTCTCCCACCACAGGCTGCATCAGAGCCTGCCTGCAGGCCAGGGGATTCACTCCCCTGAGTGTGAGAGGAGTCGCCCCCTAGACATTGCGCCCCAGAGAGGGGAAGGCCTTGCTTGAGGTCACAGCAAATCAGTGGCTGGGGAGGAAGTAGCATACGAGGCTCCAGACTCCGGTGCAGGCCTCTGCACCAACTAATGACCAGATCCAGGGAAGAAGGGGGAACCATCGGGTACTTGGGCAACTGTAGGTCAACACACCGAGCTTGGGGTCACCCTCAGATTTGTTTCTGGGGATCCTGATCTGCTTCAGGGGGGAGGAGCCACCGCTCCCTGTCATGGACACACCCTTGACCTCCACACCTGGCAGGACTCTGTACCCACTGCATTCTGCCTTCCACGGCCAGGCCTTTGCTCATCTCCCCTCACCCAACCAAAGCCTACTCAGCCCTCAGGCCTGGGATCTGGAAAAGTATTTCTGGTCTGTGTCCCAACAAGCCACGGATTCATGGACAGCTTTTCTCCCCTCCCAATATCCCCCATCCACCCACCCACCCACCCATCCATATATCCGGGTCCTAAGTGCTCTAGGAGTAGGGGTGCTACTTCAAAGTGTTGCCATGGAGATTACACATGAAATGCTTTTACTGGGCCTAGCACATAGTAGCTGATCAACAAATGGTAGCAATGGCCAGATCCTGTGCCAGAGTCTTCGAGAGAGAATGGGATCCTCTTCCAGGCACTGACCCAAGTCCCATCCCCAACCTGGAACACTTTCCCAGTCCATGGCCCGGCCCAGGCAGCCCTGGTTGAGGTTCCAAGGAGCCCTCCCGCCCCCCAGCACCCAGGTGCTAACAGTTCCAGGTTCTGATGGTGAGAGGGACACAGCACAGGAATCTATAAATATGAGACAATGGCCCTGGAGGGTCCCCCACCACGGTGCCGCCGCCCCTCGCCCTGCGCTGAGTGCTGAGCAGTGGGGAGAAGCCACATCTGCCACTGTGCTTGCTTTGCTGTGCCGCCCTGATTATAGTGAGAGTCGGGAAAATTAAGGGTTTTCGGGGATGCTGCCAGGGTCCTTGCTGCCGTCTCTCCGCCCTACACGTCACAGATGCCAGGCGGATCCGCCTCTGATGGCCACTCGCCCCAGCCGGCAGCGCCACACCCAGCCTGGCGGGGACAGGTCCCAGCTCACAGGGGTTCTCCCACCGGTCTGGAGGGAAGGGTCTCCACTCGGGCAGGGGGTGCGGAGACGCCGGCCCAGGGAAGGGAATGGGCTCGTCCAGTCTCCGTGAACCTCTTCAGCCCCGTGGACAAGGTCTAGGGCATTGCCAGGGAAGGCGCCAGGCAAGGCCTTGACCCTGCGGTCACAGACCGAACACAGGGCAGGCTCAGCTGACCTTGACCATGCAGGGCCCACATTTGCACAGCTCCTCCTTCAGTCACCCCCTCTCACTCCGGGGCGCCTCCTCTGCTCCTACCCTGCCGGCTGGGAGCCTCTGGGATGTCACCCACGCTGTTCCTGCCCCAAAGGATCCACACTGGGGATGGGGTGGGGCGCAGACAAGGCAGGAAACACCTCCAAGCCAGGCAGGAAGCGGAAACGCTGGGGCAGAAATTCCCATCCAGCGTGCCTGCTGGTGCTCGGGGAGCGCGCGGGCTGGTGAGCAGCCCAGGGCCAGCCCTGGCCTCCCTAGGCCTCAGTTTCCCCTGCTCTGAGGAGAGGGCTGGTGCCTGGCCTGCAGGTACTGAACCACAGCGAGGGGCCGGGGACGGCGCGTGCGCCCGCGCTGCAGCAGCTCCACGAAGCAGCCCCCGGCCGGCCGCCTTCGGGGTCCCCGGCCTTCCCGCACCTCACCCCGCGAGTCTCGGCGCCCCCCAGGCAGGGCAGGAGGAGGCCTGCCCCCCGCCCCCACCTGCCCGGGGGCGCAGCACCCCCAGACCCCCAGGCCGGGCCCGCGCCCCCGTCCCCAGCGCCGCGGCTCCCTCGCCCCAGGGACGCGCGCGCTGGGGTGAGGCCCCCCCAGCCAATCGCACCCCGCGCGGGGACCCGCCGCCGCAGGGGGATGGGGGGCCGCGCGGCGCGCAGAGGCCGAGTCCCCGCCCCGCCAGGGTGAGCGGCGCCCGGGAGCGCCCCGCGGCTCGCGGCGGGGGGAGGCGGGCGAGGCGGGGCCGGCCCCAGAGGGGCGCGCGGGCGGGAGCCGAGGCCGGACGCCGTCCCCTCGGGGGGGGGGGGGGGGTCGGCGGCCTCGGGCGCGGGCAGGGACCGCCCCGGGCGTGGGTGGCGCCCGCCCCGCCCCGCCCCCGCGCCCGCCCGCGCCCGCGCCCGCCCTCCCGGCGCGCAGGTACTCACCGCCCGGCGGAGCCGGCCCGGCCGGCGGCTGCCCGTCCACATGGCCCCGGGGCCGGCGCGCGCGCCGCTCGCCGCTCGCCGCTCGCCGCCGCCGCCCGCTCGGGGCCCGCCGCCGCCCCCGGCCCGCGCCCTCCCCGCGAGGCCGAGCGCACGGGGAGCTGGCGCGGTCGGGGCTCCCCCCGCCCCCCGGCTTCCCGCAGGGAGCGCCCGCCCCCCGCCCCAGCCCGGCTCCCCGCCAGTCCCGGCCCCGCGCAGCCGCGGCTGGTTCCGCGGCTCCCCCCGCGGCGCCCGGCCCGGGCTCGCTGGGGGACGCGGGGCGGGTCCGGAGGGCGCGGGGCCGCGGGCCGGGCGGGCGGCGCCCCGGGAAGGAGGGAGCCCCCGAGCTGAAGGGCGCGCGCGGGAAGGGGGGAGCTGGGCGCGCGGCGGGGGCGCGAGTGAGCGGGAATGAATGAGCGCGCGGGAGCCTCGTGGCGTGAATGGCCCTCAGGGCCGACCCGTCCGGCCCACTCATGCGCTCACCCCCTCCGCATGTGCTGGGCTCCTGCTGTAGACCCTGCGCTGGGCCTGCGCCCGGCCGGCTGCCCGCTCCCACCGCAGGCCCGCCCCGGCCCGGTTCCACCTGCGCGCTCAGGTGGGCCCCCAGAGGAGGGCTTGCTTCCTGCCAGGTAGCCCCAGCTTCCCAGTGGTGGAAGGAGGGGAGCAAGCCTGCACTGACTGGGGCTGGCTTAATCCCACCCCCCCAATGCCTTTCTAGGGGCGTTGGCCTTGGCGCCTTTGGCAGATGGGGGGACTGAGTCTCGAAGAGGGGAGTCTCTTGTGTGAGCCCACTCAGCACATGGGGGGCTAAGCTGGCATTTCACCGGGAGGGATTTCCTCCTGGGGTGTTCTCATGAGGCGCCAGTGCAGGGGCAGTGCTGGTCCCAGGGACTTGGTGGGTGCACCCCCTTACTGTCCACTGGGGCCCAAGGCTGGCCCAGTTGGGGTCTTGAGAAAGGGTGGGTGTGAAACGCCCTGTTCCTCCAGGAGGTTCTGGTGGTTGGGCCGGTGATTCTGATGGCCCAAGCCAGGCCAGAGCCGCCCCCAGGGACCAGCCTGGGCTCTGGGGGCATCCAGGCTCCCTGGACAGGGGCAGTCGGCAGCCCGGCCACTCAGCAGCACACGGACCTGGGAGAAAGCACAGGGGTGCAAGTGGGGACCCCAGCGGTGGAGAGAGGCCACCAAGCACAAGCGGGTGCTGTCCTCCTCCAGGACCCGGGGGTCTCAGCTCAAGTATGCTGACGCCGGCCACGTGGCCGTGGGAGGAGGCACCGGACACTCTGCCACTCTTCCCTGGGAGTCGTCATGACATGGGCCTGCCTCTGACTAGGCCCAGGGCTCAGCCTGGTGCCCCCAGGCGTCACATTGCTATGGCCCCGCCGGCCCCTGCGGCTCTCAAGTGTGTGCTTCGCAGCCTCGGCCACTGTGTGCGGGGCGGGCTGCGTACAGGTGCAGAGAGAGGTGTTCGAGCTACCCTGAGCCCCCAGGGAGGTCACTGGGTAACAGCAGGTGAAGGGGGGCCAGGGGGCCTGCAAGTTCCAAGGTCGGGGTGCACATCAGAGGACACCCTTCTGCCTCCCTCCCACGTGGGGCAGCTCAGGGTGCCTGCTCTCTGTCCCGCCCTGCACAGAGGATTGTTCTAGGATCTCCCTAGGGCTGGGCTCTTCACTTGGGGCCCCGGGGCCCCCTCATGAGTAGGGGAAGCTCTGAGCCCTGCACCCTTGGGGTCTGGTCCCTCAGTACACGTATAGAGCTAAGGCCCGCGGGAGGCATGGAGTGCCCAGGAAGGTCCAGCCCCCGAGGGGACACCAATAATGGGGACAGAGTGTGCGTGCGGAGCCTGCCCACAGAACCCCCCACCCCCACTGGTCCTGCTCAGATGGTGCCAGAACGTTCACCATCCTTGCTGGCTCTGCTGCTGCCAACGCTGCAGATGGCTGGGGAGGCGGGGGCGGGGAGGGGGTGGGGGCGGCCCTGCCTCAGCTCAGACAACTTGCAGACTTGAGCTTGGGCCTGGGGAGGGCCCCTACCCCAGGCTGCGCTGCCTTGCACCCTCTCCTCTAGTCCCACCCTGCAGCCCTCTCCTTCCCTCCTCCCAGCTCAGCCATGATGGAAGGAGGGGAGCAAGGCTGTCCTGACTGTGGGTCCTAATTAATCCCCTTAGAGACTTTCTGGGGGAGGTGGCCCCAGGTGCCTCAGGGGAGAACTGAGGCTCTGAGAAGCTAAGTCTCTTGCCTAAGGCATTTAACAAATAGAGGGCAAACTAACCTATCCCCCTATCTCAGGCAGTCACCCAGGCCTTCCACGGGACCCACCCCAGGTTGTACCAGAACCAGAAGGTGCAGCCTGAAGAGCCTTGCAGCGTGGGCTGCTCCCCCAGGGCCCTGCAGCCATTGCAAACAGAGCCTGGCGCACCCGACATCCAGGCAGGCTTCCTGAAGGAGGTGGAATTTCAGCTGGGGGCGGGGGTGGGAGAAGGAATACAAGAGACAGGACTTGGAGACCCTGCCCTGAGCTGTGTATGTCCCTTGTCCCCAAGCCCCTTGCCTTCATCTGAGCATCATACCACCCCCTATTTCTCAGGCCCATACCCCCACCCCCTATTTCTCAGGCCCATTTCCTGGTTTTATTTACTGCGTGCCTCTCACCATTCTCTGATTATTTACGTGTGTACGCTGATCTCTCCAGCTGGAGTGTGTGCGCCGAGATCCTGGCGTGGGGGCGGGGAGGTGAGCACACAGTGAATGGATGAATGGGTGGTGGGAAGGAAGGTGGAGGAGGCTGGCGTGACGCACAGCTGCTGGTGGCGGTGGCTGCGTGGATGCCGGAGGACAGCCCCTCATGGGTGTGGGGTTCCTGTGCGCTCCCAGGTACAGGTGTCTGGCCCCTTCTACCCGGGGGTGGGGTACAGAGAGGACCCCAGCCTTCCCTTCCCTGCAGTGCCTCTCCCAGGCTGAGGCTGAAAGTTCTTGGCGTGTGAGTTCAGGAGCCCCTGGGGCAGCTGTGGGGCCTGTTCCCTCCCTGCTGCAGACGCTTAGCCTTCCCTCTGCGCGACCCGACCGGAGTCTCCTTCCAGGGCTAACGCTTGTCTACTGACCCCCGTCCCAGTGCGCTGTCCACCCTTGATCCCTCGCCTGTTTTCCTGGGAGCACTGTCTTAAAAAATACTAAGATGTTCCACCTGGTACTTAAGGCCTCCCCTCGCATCCCTGAGCCTCTGACGGGACCGCGTGTCCCTCCCAGGGTGTCCCTCCACCCTGTCCACCAGTCCTGCCCACTGGACCTCTCGGAACAGGAGGCAGCGCTGATGAAATCGTCTCATTTGTTCTGAGCCCTGCAGGGGTGGGGTGGGGTGGGACTGGGGATGGGGCCTGCGCTGGTTACTGCCGTCCAGACTGGCAGGTCCTGGCCCTGGGCACACACCTGATGTCACATTTCACCCGTCAGTGGCTTTAAATGGCCCCTCGTGGGTGTGTTCTCATCCTTTTCTGGTTCCCCTGCTCCCCCAGGACAGCCCCGGCAAGGTATGGTGATTCCTTCATCCCCCGATGTCCAGGCAGCCGCTGGCCAGGCTCTGACCTGGGCACCAGGAGACCTGGCGCGGGTCCTCAGTGTCCCCGGCTGCCGCAGCCGCGCTTCCTCCCTGAGCCTGGTCCTTCTCTTGTCGAAGGGGTACCTGCGCCCACCTGCCACGGGACAGAGCAGTGACCAAGACAGCCCTGCCCTGGGTGGAAGGAAGGGGCAGCAGCCTGCAGGGCCACCTCAGTGCCTCTTCCTGTCCTCTGAGCTCCTCTGGGTGACCCCGAAGCAGGACGCAGATCCCCGTGGGTGGCACCTGTGGAGAGCGGCCAGGAAGAGGAGCCTCTGCCAGCGGGCCCTCTGGGGAGAGCGCCACCACTGAGCCTCACGGTGGCCAGCAAGGGAGGGAGGCAGTCTCGGCCCCACCCTTGAGGGGGAAACTGAGGCACGGGATGCAGGGAATGTGCTCAGTGGCAGTGAAGAGCCTGGGTTTGCTCCAAGAAGCTGCCGTCATGTCCCAGTTCCTTCCCGGGCCAGTGGCCTCACGTGTCCACAAGCTGGGCTGGCAAAGAAGGGGCCCCTGGAGGTACAGCAATGTGGAAGGGAGGATGCAATCAGATTCCCCCACCCAAGGGTGCTGGGGAGTGGTGGAGGCCACAGCAAGATCTTTGAGCCCAGTGTGCACCTCTGGGGCCAGTGGGCCTGTGACTGGGCGGAGGTGGTGGTGGGGGAACTGGGACACAGGCGGGGCAACTGTGAGTCCACTTTGACTCCTGGGACATGGGCTTTCGGTTTTTAAGTTGGAAAATCCTGGATCTGCCATGTGGTCACCTGGGCAGGATGAAGGACTTTTGGTGGCTCAAGGCCAGGAGCTGGGCTGGGAGGTAGCGAGACCAAGTGCTAGAGGGAAACCAGTGGGGGGTGGGCTGTCTGGGGAGGCATTTCTGGCCGGGAGGGCAGTCAGGTGGGTGACCTCTAAGTCCCCGGATGTCCAAGTCACCTCTGATGTCTGAGATGCCTGTGACGAGGTGCTGCCAGGACTGAGTCTGCCCCAGGCTGACTTCTAAGTCCCCGGATGTCCAAGTCACCTCTGATGTCTGAGATGCCTGTGACGAGGTGCTGCCAGGACTGAGTCTGCCCCAGGTGCGGGGGGGAGGCAGCCCTGAACGGTGTGTCCTTTCTCTCCTAGATGCTCCCTCGCAGGACCTGCACCCCCAGACTTCTGGACAGGCCACAAAAAGTGTGAATGTCCGCCCCCTACCTCTCATTGCCAATCTCTCCCTGGCCCCACAAGCCCCCCAGGGGGCAGAGGCAGCCCTGGCTGTGGATAGGAGCCCAGCTTGGCCTCCTTTTGGGGATGGCCTGTGACTGAGCTGGTCTCGCAGCTGTAGGTGAGGAGCAGCTGCTCACTGGGAAGATACTGTGAAGATAGAGACAGGGTCTGGGGAGGCCTTGGCACAGCTGGGCATGCTCGGGCTCCAGGGGTTAGCCTGGTGCCCAGGCACCAGGCCAGAAGCAGGGAGCTTGCAGACAAACCCCGTGGGTCAAATTCTAGCCCCGGATGAGCAGGGGCCGGGTGTGGACAGAGACTCCAGGCTCAGGTCAGCCCCCGCCTGGGGCCCTGCTCTGGGTCCGCGGGTGCTGACCTGAGACCACACGTGTGGCTCTGGGGTCTCCACTTGATAACAGAAGCCATGCTGGGATCTGAGGACCACAGTCCCCAGCCGGGCATGGCCAACTCCCAGGGAACAGGACGGAAGCCGTGGGCGAAAGTCACTCTGTCCAGCTTTATCGAGGCATAGCTGACGCACAACGGGCGGCACGCATTTAAAGGACACCACTTGATACATTTCTAACACACACGGACGCTTGTGAGACCATCCCCAGGTCAAGGCAGTGGACATTTCCCACTGCACACACTTCCTCTCCTCTGCAAACCACCGCTGTCGGCACCCCCGTTCCCAGGCCATGGCTGGTGTGTTTTCTACTATTATCAATTGGTTGGCATTTTCTAGACTCTCATGCAAGTGGAGTATCCTGTCTCCCCCACCCCTGGACAGGGAGACCTGCTTGTGCTTCTCTCGTGCACCCACAGTGTATCCCTTTATCCTCGAGCCACATGCGCTGGGTGGACATGTTGGTGTAGACACGTTGCTTTAATTTCTCTTGGGTAAATTCTCAGAGTGGGGTGGCTTGAGCTCTTGGCAGGCATATTCCTAATGTGTGAAGTTTGACATATTCCTGTCAAACTGTTTGTAAAGTGATTGTACCATGTTCCACCCCCACCAGCAAAGCCTGCTAGAGCCAGTGTCCCATGGCCTTGCCAACATTTGATATAGTCTATCCTTAATTTTAGCTGTTCACAGTAGGTGTGTGTTGATAGCCCATTGCGGTTTTAATACTCGTTTTTCTAACAACCTGATGATGTTAAAAATCTGCTTAAGTGCAGAGTCTGTTCAAATCTTTTGTTTATTTTTTAGTCGGAATGTTTCTGTTATTATTGTTCACTTGTAAGTGCTCTATATTCCGGCTGTGAGTTCTTTGTCATGTAACCATTGTATGAATATTCTCTCCAAGTCTTTTGTTGGGCTTAACTCTTTAAAAGTGTTTTTGAAGACACAAGCTTTCATGTTTGATAAGATCCACTTGTTATCAGTGTTTTTCTTTCTTAGTTTATGCTCACTGCGTCAAGAAAGCCCTCCTAACGCATAGTTTGTTGCTAATATACAGAAATACACTGACCTCGTAGCTGGCTCTCTTGCTAATCATGTATTAGTCCTGACAGCTTTTTTGTAGGTCCTTAGAAATTTTTACCTAGATGATCAGCCATCGACAGATAAGGACAGTTTTCCTTCCGGCTCTCTGAGAACAGACAGGGGGATCCACGCTCACCCCGCCATCGTTGTATTGGATGTCTTAGCTCAACAAGGCAGCAAACAAAACAAAAGAAAAACCACACAGATTGTGAAGCAAGAAGTAAAACTGTCCCTTGTGCCCTTGTTTACTGAGTCTTTATTAGGAATGGAAGTTGAATTTTGTCAAAGAAAATTTTTGCATCTACTGAGCTGATCATCCACTTTGCTTTTTTTTTATTCTGTGACTGTGCTGAATTGCACTGATTGATTTTGAAATGTTAAACCACTGAATTGCTGGGATAAGCCCAACTTTGATGTGTCTTTCCTTTTGTATATTATTGGATTCCATTTGCAAATATCTACTGAGAATGTTTGTATCCATGTCCGTGGGGAATGTGGGCCTCTGGTTTCCTCTCCTGTGTGGGGGGAACGCTGACCTCAAAGGGAGGTTGCAAAGTGTCCTTCTTGGTCTATTCTGGGAAAGAGTTTCTTTAGATGAGCATTATTTCTTCCTTAAGTGTTTGCTACAGCTTACCAGAAGAACCATGCGGGTCTGGAATTTTCTTTGTGGAAGATTTTTAACTCAGTTATAATTATTTCATAGAGGTGAGGCTATTCAGAAATTTATTCTTTTTTTTTTAAGATTTTATTTACTTATATAAGCAGTGGGTACAGTCAGAAGCGCGGGAGGGTGAGAGAATTCACCAGAGCCAGAGTGGAGAGCAGAACAGGCAGAAGGACCGAAGTACACTGCTGAGGGGAGCAGCGGGCACAGCAGGAGAGGTCTGCTCGCCGTGTGGGGATGGAACCGGCAATGCAGAGGCTGCGGGCAGCTTCGCAGCCCAGCGCTCAACCGCTGCGCCACTGGGGAGACCCCAGATATTTATTCTTGAGAGAGTTTCTGTAGTTCATTTTCTTCAAAGAATTTATCTAATTCACCTATGCTGTCAAATTAGTTAAAATGAACTTGTTATTCTCTTCACATCTGTGGGACCCACAAGGATGGCGGAGCCTCCTCTTCCCTGGTGTTGGTTATAGGTTTTCTCTCTTTTCTTCTTCATGGGTCTGGCCAAGCTTTGCCATTTTTATAATCTTCTTAGAGAAGCAGGTTTTGGTCTTAATGATTTTTCTATTATTTTAGTATTTTTACTTCCTTGACTTCAGCTCTTTATAGTTTCCTTTCTCTTTCTTAGTTTCTTTTTTTTTTTTTTAAAAAGATTTATTTATTTATGCATCCAAGAACTGGGGTGTAAGCCAGAAGTGTGGGGGAGCTGTGAGAGGATTCACCAGAGACAGAGCGGGGAGCAGAACAGGCAGATCTACTGAAATATACTGCTGAAGGGAGCAGCGGGTGAGGCAGGAGAGGTCTGCTGCACCAAGTGGGTCAGCTCCCTGACCTGCCAGGCATCAAACTTGTGCTGCAGTAGCTGGCAATAGCTTGA